AATGAGATAGCCTACAAATTACTCAGGAACAAACTCAAACGCTCAAAACCCAACTCTCGCAATATGCACACTATCGATGGTGAGGAACGTGAATCAAAGGGAAATTGTCGCTTCTCTTCTGAGGGTGCGATAGAGACACACTTCATTGATCTCGCTAAAGCACGATCCCGACGCACCACAATTGACGCACTCCATGACCCGGAAGCGGGGGACGTAGCACCGACCCTCACCAGTGCAAGGTTCATTAAAATTACACGTGACGTTTTCAAGGACCTCTTCTCGTCCCATATACCGGATGTCGGGAGTGAGGCCCACCACCAAAGGATAGAAGACTTTCTGCAACCTGTAAACAAAAAGTTTACACCAGAGCAACGAGAACTCCTAGATGCACCCCTATCCAAGTTTGAGGTATGGGAAACCCTCTTGCAAGTGGAAGAAGAGAAGACACCCGGAATCGGCGGGTTCCCCAAAGAGTTATGGGAAACTACTTGGGATTTTATGGGCAATGGCGTCATGGAGTTCTACGAGGAGGTATGGCATATGGGGGAGATGGGGGAAATGGTAGGTCAAGGAGTGTTATCCTTGCTATATAAAAAAGGGGACAAGATAGACATTATGAATTACGGGCCGATCACCCTGCTCACGGTGGTTTACAAGATGTTGACCAAAACAATGGTCAACATCGAAGATATAATTCACCCGAACCAGACCGACTTTATGAAAAATCAAAATATACAAGAAAATATTTTGTTGGTGCATGAAGTGTTGCAGTTGACCTATCACTCGAAACAGAATGCGGCCCTGGTGTTCATAGACTTTGAGAAATCCTATGATCACGTTGACTGATTATGTTTGGATAAGAGCTTAGAAAAAATGAACTTCGGGCCGGATTTAAGGAGGTGGGTGCAGATACCCCATCGAAATGCAACTACCAGGGTTCATGTCAATGGTTCCGTAACGTCGACTATCCAATTGGAGCGATCGGTGCGACAGGGGGACCCAATCGCCCCTTTCCTTTTTTTGATTATCATCGAGGCTCTGGCAGCAAACCTACGGGCCAATAAGGACATCACTAGGATTAACATTGCCAACATCCCAGAGGATGTAGTTCCAATGTGGTTGCTATTTGTTGACGACCTCACGGCAATGGTGGAGGTGACTCAACGGAATATAGAGGAGATCTAACAAATGATGCATAGGTTAGTGGGGGTATCAGATATGATGACCAACTCGGGTAGTAAAACACAAGGGTGGTGGATTCGTTCTCAAGGGGGGCGGCCGTCGGAGCAGCCCCCCGTGAGATGACTACCCTTGGATGCCCCACTTAGAATTTTGGGCGTAGCAATGACAAAGATGGGCTGCCCTGCAACGAATGACGAATGGGTCGGCACTTCGGCCCTGACCAAACTGCTGGCGTGGAAGAGTAAGCCCACTTCCCTCTTCGGCAGGGCATCGGTAATTAACAATGTGGTTTTTGCATCCTTGTGGTATAAGTCCTTATTATGGCCCCTAAGTAAAACTGCAATGAAAGCACTGAGGTCCAAGGTCGCCGCCGTCCTCTCACGAGGAGACTGTGAGCAAACCAATGTAATTAACCACGTCGCATGAGAATCGGTCATGCAACCGAAGGTGGGGGGAGGTTTGGGGTTGATTGACCCCCAGACACAAGCATTGCAACGACAATGGATTAAGAAACTATTGTTCAGTCTGGGTTGCCCTTGGGTGTCCTTAGCCTTAGAACATCTGGCCCGCCTAGCCCCAGAAACCGCCCCGGAAGTCCACCCAATGATATGGCTAGAAGACCGTTTTTGGGCTATTCTGCAACGGCTCCCAGCAAGGCGGCAGCAAGGCATACAACAGGAGGAGGAGGATTGTAACCAGATGCATAACAATTTTTGGCCATCCCTATTGAAGAACAAGCGCAAGCTACCGTTCCCGGACAAGCCCCATCCGGGCTGATGGGAAGAGATAAGTAGGCAGCCCCTCTTTGGGGACCGGTGGCTCACAGACCCCCACGACTGTGTCAGAACCAGCACCGATGCACTATGGAAAAGTTGGGTCAAGCGAGGAATGTTATGTATTAAAGACATGTGGGACAGCGAAAGGAAAGACTTAAAGACAGTAGATCAATTACGAGAGTCCCTTCGATATTGCCATCACATAGAACAACACACTGAAGCGATTATCGAGACAATACTCTTGCCCTGGTATAGAATCCTGCAACGGGGGCCTACTCTTAGAGAAGGGGATTGGGTCGCGGCCAGGGGGAGCCCTGAACGGGTAAGACGAATTCACATGGTGGACCCGCGTATGAGCTTGATAGAGTATTACAACATTTCCCCGACCAGCAGGCTGCAGGGCAGTCGGACTCCTTTTGAATGAAAGGACTTAGACACCTTATACCACGTTAGGATCGTAGAGGAAGGGGGGGAATATGTGGTCTTTCAGCCACGGACAAACATTCACGAGTTGGCCTTCGACCCGCTGGAATGGCAGTGGACCCCCCCCACAAGGCGAACTGGTCCCCCCAAGAAACTGTTTAGTCTGCACAGTTTGTCGGTAAAATCTACATATCGGATGCTAAGACCCAAGCGCAACCTGAGAGACGTGATCATTGAGCGATGGGCCAAACACCTCAATGTGGACCGTCGTCAGCTCACACCGATTAAGTGGTTCCAAGAGCGGACGTCCAATCCGGCCAAAATCACCTCGCTATAGTACCAAATAACACACCAATTGTTTGCCAACCAACGACTGGTTGGTAGATCAATCACACCGACTTGGAACAGAAGGGGCTAGCATCACCATGGTGTCTGCGTTGTCTTAGGCATTTTCCAGCCTGCAAGAAGGCCGAAACAATAGAACATATTTTCATGCAGTGCCCGATCACGCAGTTTACATGGAGATGGTGGGATCGGGTGTGGAGGAAGATGGGCACATAATGTCACTGACCTTGGTCCTGGCAGGCGATCCTGCCGGGATACTTGCCAAAGCAGGAGATAACGACTTTCACAGACAATATGTATATGTTGGGGAGGCAAGCAGTGTTATGGGCTTTATGATGGCAGCGGTGCCTATTGACCATGGAAAGAGTATGTGTAGAGGGAGCGGAGATTACAGAATAAATCCAACAACAGATCCAGTTAGATATGACGCCCAAATGGCTTGCCCTGAAGCCCCAACTGGACCTGTATCAACAGATTGGGGATGGGAAACTGACAATCACTAATTTTTGTAAGGAATGGTTGGGGGGGGACAGGGGAGGATGGATAGCAAAGGTAGAATGTAGTAGGGACGACCCAGACAACAATCAAGTTTTGGAAGGGGCAAGGGATTACAATTTGGTTTCCAAGGATTAGACTCATATTGAACCCTCCTTCCCACTTCGCCCCCCCTCGGATTTCCCTGATCCTTTCCCCCCCCATGCCCTCTCCCTAACAGAAACCCTGTCATAAGAGCCACGGCCGAACCCCGATGCCCCGCGGGCAATGGTCATTAAGCAGGATAATCAAGGCTGGAGAGGTGTTCTTCAATGCTCTGTGTAACTTACATCCAATGTGCTACAGATCAGCTTTTTTGATAGGCTGGACCCAGTTTTACAGCAAACTGTCTCAGAACGTACAACCAGCAGCCATCGTAAGGTTTTTCAAATTTGGCAGCTGCTATGGGAAGGGAGGAACCAGTGTGTAGCAGCAAGATTTTGGCGCCTGGTGCAGGGCAAAGAGGTTTCCTCTCCTTTTTTTCCTAATAACCTGCTTAGTCAATCCTCTGGATTCCAGAGCAATCAATGCTGGCAGGCAACTCTCCAAACTCTCAACCCCCTTTTCCTGATATCCCACAAATTCTTTCTGTATATGGCATGCTGGACCCGCTTTCCAGCAGGTGATGCTCCCCACCAATAGATGAAGCTCAGAGTAAAAAAAAATAAAAAATAAAATAAAAAAAATTCTGTAAATGGGACGCTGGACCCTCTTTCCAGCAGGTGATGCTCCCCACCAATAGATGAAGCTCGGTGTTAAAAAAAAAAAAAAAAAAAAAGGACCCCACACACACACTCTTCGAGTTGTGTATAGCGAACATGACAAAACATACACAGCATAATCACTTCCTTACCCTTCCCCAACCACCTGCCGGAAACTGGGTCCAGCGTCCCATGAACATAGTGAATGATAAAGCACCAACCGGGACCTCACACACACACACTCTTCGAGTTGTGTATAGCCAACATGACAAAACATACACACAGCATAATCACTACCTTACCCTTCCCCAACCACATCAACAAACCGACTAGGGGCTCCTGTGCCCTCACGGTAAGTCAATATGAACGCAACCCTGACGGGTTGCTAAGACGCTCAGGTGTATAAACGCAACCCTATGGGTTGCGAAGCATACCCCAGCCCCTGGGGCTGCTATCTGAGCTGGGCCCTTTTACCGACGCTGGTTTATACCCCGAAGGACAGAGCACGCTGGTTTATAGCCCGGACATAGGAACATGGACCCAGCAGGGCCCGGAGTCAGTCATCCAGACACGTGCGGGAGCAGGTTCCCACTAGCGCAGAGGATCGGATCAAGCCTGCATCTGGATGGGTTTTGAGGAGAGATGCGGAAAAGCAGATCAGTCGCGATTTTCTGGACTTCTTATCAACGCGTCATGGTGGGACCTCGACCCGGGACTCTTCAGGGGAACAACACGCCTCGGGACGTGGTTCAGGCTTACCTGCAGGTCTTTTTTTTTTTTTTTTTTTTTTTGGCTTACCTGCAGGTCAAGGTCTCGCTTCGATAGATTTTTCATTCTTGGCCGTCTGTCTTTGTAATCTATGGTTGAAATAACTCGGCGGAAGAGACGGGGGCGGGCAAGTGGGACCTCACCCATTCCGCGGGGGGGGAGCGCCGCCGTCACACCCCCTCTCTCTCCTCGGCGCATGTTAGATACGGAGGCCTTCGTCCCAGTAGTTCCCAGTAATTCACGTCCCAGCACGCCTCCCCGTCGTTACAGCGGGGAACCCTAGAGACAACTGTAGGGCCCTGAACACTGCACAACACACATCAACAGTGCGCGGAGGCGGTTGGAGATCTTGGACTGAAGTGCATCTTTGATTTGATAACGGGTGAGCTTCTTGTGCGCCGTGTTGATTTCCATGTCTTCGCTCTGTCCTCATTCTTGTGCTTTCCTTCTTCGCCGTCGCCTTGGCTTCATCTTGCCCTATTGTCAGGACCTTCTCAAAAAAAAGAAAAAAAAAAAGAAAAAAAAAAAGAAAAGAAAGGACCTTCTCTCTCTCTCTCTCTCTCTCTCTCTCTCTTCTCTCTATTCTGCGTCTTTTCGTTCTCTGCTGCTATAGGCGATTTCTCTTTCTTTCCTTTATTTTAATTTTACTTGTAACATGAACTCTAATCAGTTGAAAGTGTGTCCTTGAAAAAAAAAGAAAAAAAAAGAAAAAAAAAGAAAGTGTGTCCTTGATATAGACAGCTGGAAGCGCGGGTTTATCTGCGTATAGCGCCGTGGCTAGCGAGGCGCAAGCACGAAAGAGAGGATGGATAGGACGAGAGAGGGAGAGTGGAAGCGGTGAGGGAGAGAGGGAGTTAGGGAACTAATGCGGAGAAGTATGGCATCAGCTAAAAACGAGTGGCATTAAGCCAGTACCGGCGACGTGGCTACACGCAAGTGCAACCGCACATCAACTGTTTTTGAACCGTTCCGTTCATCCAGAAAAAGGAAAGGTTCCTTACAGGGAAAGTGCGCGAAGTGGACAGGAAATGGGCGGTCGTGGATGGTTGCGCCGTCGAAGACACCCTGCGATTCGGGGGGTTATGTGGAGGGGAGGAAAGGAGGAGAAGAAGAGAGAAGACGAGTGGTGGTGGGGGGGGGGGGCTCGTCAGGCACACGTCGGAGTGCGGAAGAGTAGGAGGAGAAGGGAGGCGAAAGAGAGCGAAAGGAACGACGACGGAGATCGGAGAACGAGAGACGGGGGTTCAAGCGCAGGTTTCGCCGCGTTCCATGCCAGCCTTGGCACCGCCAGAGTTGAAATTGGCAGAATGAAGAACGATAAGAAGCAGCACACTAAGGAAAGAAGAAGAAGGACAAGAAGAAGAAGGACAAGAAGAAGAAGGACAAGAAGAAGAAGACGAAGAAGACGGAAAAGAAGAATGATAGGCATTCGCACCACCACGGTAGTAATAGTGACGAGGATAAGAAGCAGCAGCAGCAGCAGCAGAAGAAAGAGAAGAAGGAGAAGAAGAAGAAGAAGAAGAAGAAGAAGAAGAAGAAGAAGAAGAAGAGTGAATAGAGAAACTGTGGCGATAGAAGGAGAAGAAGAAGGAGGAGAAGGAGGAGGAGGAGGAGGAGAAGAAGAAGAAGAAGAAGGAGAAGAAGGAAGAGATGATTATGCAGGGCTTGGCTCTGTTGGCAACAGGAAGTGGTTGCGGTAAGAAGCAAGGAAGTTTGTCGTTTAGTGCCATCTTCCGTGCCCGGTAAGCAGTTATGTGGCGCTGGCTCTGATTGGCACTGGAGGACGGAGTTCTTGGGTTAAGGTGGTTAGGGTTTGGGAAGGCGGTGGGTGGAAGGGGGCAGAGAGGGGTTGAGGAAACGGGTGAGTCGGAGGGCGTCGCTCCACTACTCACCACATGCACAAAGGACAAAAAATATGGCGGCGTATCTTCCCATGTTTGAGCGGAAGATTCATTCTCATTTTGCACATTTGGTGAGAAGCGGAGCGAGGGCTGGAGTCTCCCTTTTCTTGCCGGAGGAGGCGGTGGAAGGCGAAAAGAGGGGTGGGTTGGGGAAGGGGTACTTCTGCTTCTCTTTTTTGTTTTTTTGTTGTGGGGGGGGGGGAAAGAAGGGGGAAGGCGGCGGAGGGAGCATTCGCAGCGGCCCGAAACCGCAGATCGGGCAAGCGGCGACTGCTATCGTCTTCAACCGAATTGAATGTGCGGACATTATAGCTGTATTCGGGGCAACTTTCAGTCCAGATACAGGGATAATAACCGTACGTTCTATTCGGGGGAAGACGGTACTACCGTCTTCAACCGAATGGAAATCACGCACGCACATTAAAGCTGTATTTGGCCCAAATTTGCGGCTAGATGCATCCTTAATGATTTTGCGTTCGATTGCTGGGCAGAACGGCAATGTTTTAACGACACTAAACTGCAGTAGTGCGAAAAAAAAACAAAACGTTTTTGGGACACGACGATCACTCGTCACCGTAATTGCACTGTTCTTATTTTTTTAATTATTACGGCAGTACTTTGTAGGGCGTACTCACACGCTCTTATCTCAAATGTATCTGACCGCATTTTTGACCGGACGTGGATGAATCTGACCGTAATTCCGTCCGTGAGCAAGTAGAAAAGTCCTAGTGTGAGTACGCCCCCGTTATCGTACTTTCTTAAATCTTTAGTACCCACTCCTTTTATCACTCGTTTTACTTATCTCCAAGTTATTTTAACTTTTTTTTTTTTTTTTTTTGGTTATTTACAACTTTTTTCTGTTATTTGTGGTACTGAAGTCTAGACTTGTTAGGTAAAGGAGGGTAGAATTTGTTTTGTACTTTTTTCCCCTTTTTGTACAGAGGGTAGTATTTGTTTCCCGTTTGTTGCGCGGTTGGTTTGTAGGCTCTCGAGGAGACGGTCTGTAGTCCACGAGGGAGAGGGAGTGTGTACGTCTGTGTTGGGCTGGGCGGGGAGAAGCAGGTGGAGGGGGGGGGGGGGG